CGGGTGTAGGACGGTTCCAGCAGGGGGGTGCCGGCTGGCAATTTGGAAGGGGTGGGTGTAGGACGAAGGAAGGATAGCATGGGCGGGGCATGGTGGGGGAGTTGTCCGTTGGACGGTTCGAGAGAGTTCTCTCCTCTTCTCTTATGAGGAGGACTGTATTGGTTTGTGCTGTGAAAGGGAGGGAGGACGCGCGAGGGAATGTAGGATGCGGCGCTGGTGTAGGATGCTGCGCTGGTATAGGAGGGCGGGTCTGATGGTCTCGGTCGCAAGGGGGAGGGGATGATGTGGGTTGAGGACGAGCAGAAGGTGTGGGATGGTGTTGGGCTCGTGGTGGCCGTGGATGGTTCGGGAGAGTTTTTTTCTTAGGAAAGAAAAGCCCGGCAAATTTCTGGGCGACGGAGGCAGTATTGTATTGGTTTTGTACTGCAGGAGGGTGGACGCGCCACTGGGAGGAGATGTAGGATGCGGCGCCGGTGTAGGAGGGCAGGTAGGGTGGTCTCGGTCACAAGAGGGAGGGGATGGTGCAGGATGAGGGCGAGCGGAGGGTGTAGGATGGCTTGGGGGGTTTTTGTGGTGGCTGTGGATGGTGTGGGAGAGTTTCTTCTTTATTTTCCTGCGCCACAGGGGGGATGTAGGATGCGGCGCCAGTGTGAAGCGTGGCTCTCTTGCAGCGGGATGCTGTTGAGTTTTGGGTATTTTGTTAGAGACAGCGGTTGTTGAGTACTGGGTGTAGCGTTGAGGACGGATGCTGTTGAGTATTGGCTGTTGCGTTGAACATTGAAGCGTGGCAGGCGGGGGCGGGCTGCGAGCCAGCGGTGGGCGGGAGCATCGGGATTTCCATCGAACTCCTAAGGATTCTCTTGCAGTGGGGTGCTGTTGAGTACTGGGTGTTGTGTTGGAGGCAGAGGCTGTTGGGTACTAGGTGTTGTGTTGGAGACTGATTCTGTTGAGTAGTGAGTGGTGCATTGAACGCGGAAGAACGGCGGGCGGGCGGGGGAGGGCGGGCGGAGGGCGGGCGGCGGGCGGGCGGGCGGACGGGCGGCGAGCGGCGGGCGGGCGGATCGGGATTTAGATCGAAGTCCCGAGAATTCTTTTTTTGCAGCGGGATGCTGTTGAACCCTGGGTGTTGTGTTGGAGGCGAAGGCTGTTGAGCAATTGGTGGTGTGCTGGGGGCGGAGGCTTTTTGAGTACTGGGTGTGGTGTGGAGCGCGGAGAGACAGCGGACGGGTGGCGGCCTGCGGGCGGCGGCGGGGCGGGGCATATCTGTATTTTCTATCAAGACTTCGCTCCGGCGCCGGGAATCCTAAGAATCCTCATGCGCCCAACACTCAATAGGAATATCGAACTCCTAAGAATTCGATCTTCCTATTGAGTGTTGGGTGTTGTGCTGGAAGCACAGGCTGTTGAGTACTGGGCGTTATGCTTGAGAAGGGTGCTGTTGGGCAGTTGGGTGTTTTGTTGTGGTGCGGGAGCACGGGGGGCAGGCGGCGGGCGGGCGGCGGGTGGGCGCATCGGGACTTCCATCGAGCTCGTAAGGAGTCTCCCCTGCAGCGGGATGCTGTTTGAGTGCTGGGTGTCGTGTTGGGGGCGGGAGCTGTTGAGTGCTGGGTGCTGTGTGTTGAGACGGGTGCTGTGGGGTACTGCATGTTGTCTTGACCACGGAAGCACGGCAGGCGTGGGCGGGCGGCGGGCGGCGGGCCAGCGGCGGGTGGGCGGATCGGGATTTCCATCGAACTCCTAAGGAGTCTCCCCTGCAGCGGGAGGCTGTTTGAGTGCTGGGGGTTGTGTGTTGTGTTGGGGGCGGGAGCTGTTGAGTTCGGGGGTTGTGTTTGAGACGGGTGCTGTTGGGTACTGGATGTTGTTTTGGGGGCGGATGCTGTTGTGTTGGGGGCGGGAGCTGTTGAGTTCGGGTGTTGTGTTTGAGACGACTGCTGTTGGGTACTGGATGTTGTTTTGGGGGCGGATGCTGTTGTGTTGGGGGCGGGAGCTGTTGAGTTCGGGTGCTGTGTATGGGACGACTGCTGTTGGGTACTGGATGTTGTTTTGGGGGCGGATGGTGTTGTGTTGGGGGCGGGAGCTGTTGAGTACTGGGTGCTGTGTTTGAGACGGCTGCTGTTGGGTACTGCATGTTGTCTTGACCATGGAAGCACGGCCGGCGGGCGGCGGGCGGCGGGCGGCGGCGCCAGCGGCGGGTGGGCGGATCGGGACTTCCATCGAACTCCTAAGGAGTCTCCCCTGCAGCGGGAGGCTGTTTGAGTGCTGGGTGCTGTGTTGAAGGCGGGAGCTGTTGAGTACTGGGTGCTGTGTTTGAGACGGCTGCTGGGGGGTCGTGGGTGTTGTGTTGGACAAGGAAGCACGGCCGGCGGGCGGGGGAGGGCGGGCGGCAGGCGGGCGGGCGGGCGGGCGGGCGGCGGGCCTGGACCGAATCTATCGAAAAAACAACTCCGTGCATCGAAACTTTTGGCGCTCCGCGCGGATCTCTTGGATCTGCGCTGGACCCCCTCCCTAGCGCACCTCCGGCGCCGGGGGCGGCGCCGGAGGCGCCGTCAGGGTGGCCCAGCGCGCGGATCCAAGAGATCCGCGCAGAGTGCCAACAAATTCTGTTTATGGCGTTGCTTGCTTCTTCTTCGAACTAGGGTATATCCTCCCCGAACCGACCGACGGTACGACGCTTGCGCCTCGCCCACGAAGAGAGGTCGGGTGTTGCTAGGAGTGCCCCTGGCCCAAGGTGCCCCCCAGGATTTCCAGGCAGGCCCCCAAGATGACCCCCGGGGAGGCCCAGGGCTCCAAGCTTGGCCGAAAAGCTGGGGGGCACCTTGGGCCAGGGGCACCTCTAGCAGCCCCCGAAGGGGGGGGGGCCCCTCGGCCCGATGGACACGCGTGCGGGCGAGGGGGTCGACGGAGGTGACTTCCGGGAGGGATCTCCACAGGAGCGACCGGGGCCAGTGCACGGGCCTGATAAGTGGGAGCTCGACCACAGGAAACTTCCCAAAAGAAACCCAACCCTGAGACCCCAGGACGTCCACTGATTTCGGGTGTGGGACCGCCACGCTTTCCATAGCAGAACCATCGAAACCCACGAAACCTAGGGCACCCTGGAGGCAGGCAGGGTGTTTCTTGGCATAGGTCTCCGCTGCAAGACGAAGCTAGGGCGAGGATAAATTCGGGCGAGGACAAACCGAAGATCTCTGAGATCTGGCAGCTCTGGAAAATGCCTCGGGCGCCGCGGCCTTCTCAAAAGCGTGCCGGAACGCCCTGAGAGCGTTCCAGAACGCTCTGGAGCGGATGTATCCTCGTCCCAGCCCCGCCCGACCCGATTAAGAGGGCCGTGAAGCCAGACTGAGCCCGATGGGGCCAAATATCAAGCCAGAGTATGCCAGACCAAGCGGGACTAGGCCAGATTAAGCGTGGGTCATGTACCAATGCAGAGGGTGAATCTGAAGCCCCAGGAGTCTCATCCTGAAGGAGAGGGGGCAGGGGACGTGTTGCAAAAGGCGAAGAACCTGGCATCGCTCGGACGTGTGTGTGAATGAGTGAGTGAGTGAGTGAGTGAGTGAGTGAGTGAGTGAGTGATTGATTATGATGATGATGTTGATGATGATGATGATGGTGATGATGATGATGATGATGATGTTGGTGATGATGATGATGATGATGATGATGATTATGATGATGATGATGATGATGATGATGATGATGATGCTGCTGCTGATGATGATGATGATGGTGATGATGATGATGATGAGAGTGATGGCGATGATGGTGTGAGAGATTTTTGAATGATGATAATGATGTAGTGAATGATGATGTTGATTGCGTTATGATGGAGGTGGTGTGTGACTCATTGCGTATACGAGCGTGCGATCATGAGGTCTGTATCGAATCATTAAGTGAGTGAGTGAAGACGATGATGATGCTGACGATGATGTGTGTGAGTGAGTGGCTCTTCCTGTGTTCCTGCGCGGGGTGTCTGGAAAACCAAAACCCAACTTTGGATGTGGGGAATCAAAGCAGTAGTCAACAAATCATAGGACAATCGTCACACTACTATTTTGTTACCATTGTTGAACTATTCCTCCTGTAGAGGGACATACCCGACCGAACAGCAGTCGCCGCTCTCTTGGATGCCCTGGGCACGCGGCGGGAGCGGCCCGCTGGCCGAAGTTCTTCGTGCTTGTTGGATGTTCTTGTGCATCCTGGGGAGGGTACTCTGGGATGGTCTCTGTCCTCGGTCCGACTGTATCCACGCCCTCGCGGGACTGGCCCCCGGGCCGCGGCCCCACGGACGACCCAGACCCCCTCGCGTCGTGAACAGATCATGACGGGAGGTTTTTTCGCTGTTCTCATCCTCCTGGGGGCCCTCAACGGGCCCCGGGACCAGTCCGTCGGGTGCGGCTTCCAAAGGATGCGCGTTGCAACCCGCACCTTGGGTGGCTGGCGAGAGCCTCGACCCCAGAAATCCGCCGCTCCAGAAAAATTAGAGCGGGCGTTGCTTGCCGTTGTCGGCCTCCCCGGGCCCTTGCTGGGACCCGGGACCGTGAAGAACGTGTCAGGACGAGAAGCCAGTCCCGGGGAATGGGTCCATGACGGGCCAATTTCCCACCACCACTGCCATGTAGGACGCGGGAGAAGGGAGGATGAGGAGGTCCTCCTTCTCCTCCTCCTCCTCCTCCTCCTCCTCCTCCTCCTCCTCCTCCTCCTCCTCCTCCTCCTCCTCCTCCTCCTCCCTCTCCTACCTGTGGTCGCGGGGTTGGAAAATCGGCCCATCAGTGCAGAACTCTGGGGGTCGACGCTGCGAGCAAAGTCACGGCGTCGGGGGTCCGTTTGTACGGGGCGCCCTTGCGCGGGGATGCCCCGCGCGGCACGTGGCCGTGCGCCCGCGCAGCCGCGGGATCGCGCCCCAGAGGCCAGGCCGCACACCTGCGCCGCTCGTGCTCTCTCCCTGCCCCCCCCCCCCTCCTTCCTCCTCCTCCTCCTCCTCCTCCTCCTCCTCCTCCTCCTCCTCCTCCTCCTCCTCCTCCTCCTCCTCCCCCTCCCCCTCCTCCTCCATCTTCTCTCCTCCTCCTCCTCCTCCTCCTCCTCCTCCTCCTCCTCCTTCGGCGCACCCAGGCGTGCCTCCCCCTCCTGACTCGGCGTGCACGGGCCAGCGCGGGCGCTGGGGGGAGGGGCCAGGCTTCGACATGGGCGGCGACGCCATCCTCGCCGCGCAGGTGGACCCGTGCTCGGTGGCGGGCACCAAGGCCGTGCGCGGCGCGGGGATCCCCTCTGGGGGGCGCGCCCTGGGCCAGACGGGCCGCCGGTCCCTGGAGAGCCAGGCGCTGCGAGAGCCGTTTCCTTTGACTCCATCTCTTGGCGACAGCGGGCATGACCGCGGGGGAGTCGGGCGCGGACGTCTAGACATGTCCACTGCTCCATGGCCAGGGAGAAGTGGACATGAACAGATTTCGTCGCCCCATGGAGGGGCCCGTCACGTCACGATTCGCGCCGGTGCCGTTTGGGAGAATTCCTCTATGGATAGTTCCCGACGGCGCTGGCGCGCATGAGGAGGAGGAGGAGGAGGAGGAGGAGGAGGAGGAGGAGGAGGAGGAGGAGGAGGAGCAGGAGGAGCAGGAGGAGCAGGAGGAGGAGGAGGAGGAGGAGGAGGAGGAGGAAGACGAGGAGGAGCAGGAGGAGGAGGAGGAGGAGGAGCAGGAGGAAGACGAGGAGGAGCAGGAGGAGGAGGAGGAGGACCTCCCCATCCTCCCTTCTCCCCCGTCTTACCTATGGCAGTGGTGGTGAAAGATTGGCCCAGCAGGGTGGGGCGGGGCCAGTCACGGGCACCCTCGCGACTGCTTGCAAGACGGGCTCCTCGTCTCTCGGGCCTGTCGGCCTCGCCCAGCTTCGGGCCCCGGGGCAATACTCGCAGGCCCATAGGTTTTTACCCAACACAAAGATCGGCGGTGTGGCTCCACCGAGGGAAGACGATCCCGATGTCGGTGATGGTGGTAATATTCTGGCTTCCAAGGTGGCCGAAATATTGCCACCAACACCGAAATCTAAGATCATCTTCCCCCTGTGGAGGCAACCCCTTGTGTTGGTGTTGGTGCTAATTTCCAGGCCTCCAAAATACCACAGATCCATCCGGCTCGCATGAAGGCTGCTGGAAGATTGGTTCTGGGTCCGGTCGTGATTTCCTGCGGGGTTGCATGTATCTATCAGGAGGGAAAACACACACAGACACAACTCACCCTCGATTCCCTAGAAAATGTGAGAAAATATGGGAAGTGGGGGAAGACGAACATCCAGAAAATATGGGAAAATATGGGGAATCGGGTTATTTGTGTATACCTCTTTGTGTGTCCCAGGGCCCCTTCAATCTAGGTCTCCAAGATGGGGTCGGAGTAGTTGGGGTCGGAGGAGCGCGGCGCATTGTCGATGCATCGCCAATGCGGCTCGATGTGGAGCCCGAGTTCCTCCACGCCGACGGCGCCGATGCATCGCCAACGTCGTCGATGCATCGTCAGGGCATCACCGATGCAGCGCCGATGCATCGCCGATGTGTCGGCGACGCGGCGCGATCCTCCGACCCCATCTGCTTCGACACCATCAAGGAGGCCTCTAACGCATATATTCCCCCATCAGTGCTTGCACTGAAGGGGTCCTAGCGGAGGTTGAAGGATTTGGCGAAAGTTTCCCGCCGATATTGGTCGCGCGCTGGGTTCCCGGGTTCCGGGGTTCCCGGTTCGCGGGCCGATTTCGGTGGGCGGCGAGGTTCCCAGGTTCCCGCGTTCCTGGTCGATCTTCTTATCGATCGGTCTCACCATCAATCTCATCTCCCACCTCTCTATCGATCTCACCATCGATCTCACCATCGATCTTACAATCGATCTCACAATCGATCTCGCAAGCAATCTCACTAGAGATCGCACTAGCGATATCGCGATCGATCTCCCTATCGATCTCATTGAATCGATTTCACTCTTGGTCTTACAATCGTCCTCTATCGATTCCACTATCGATCTGATGATCGATCTCACAATCGATCTCAAGATCCATGTGACTAATATTCATATCATCCACTGGGGTTTTCTCAGAGGTGGAGGGTGGCGAGGAGGAGGCGGAGGAGGAGGAGGAAGAGGAGGAGGAGGAAGAGCAGGTGGAGGAGGAGGAGGAGGTGGAGGAGGAGAAGGAGGAGGAGAGGAGGAGGAGGAGGAGGAGGAGGAGGAGGAGGAGGACGTGGCGATTGCCAGCATGGCAGCAGGGGGCGCCCCGCCCGCCCGATCCTCACCTTCCTTTTTCATCTTCGCACCATCCTGGTCTTCCTTCTCCACGTCCTGGCCCTCCTGGCCTTCCTCCTCCACCATCCTGATTTTCATTATCCTGACCCTCTTTCTCCACATCCTCACCCTCTGGCCCCACGCGCGCTTGATCCTCGCCCGCGTGACCCTCTCTCCTGATCCCCCCCCTCGCGAGCCTCGCCCTCCTGATGCTCGCGCTCATTCTCATCTCGATCATTTTCCG